GCATTGTTAATCTGAAACCTGAGGACTGTAAATGATTGAAATTGTGTAACCAGAGTCTTTGCATGGCTGCTGCTTCTGTAGCATTTAACTGAGAAATGCATTTGAAGTGGTTTGTAACTGACTTTGCTAATGGTGAGCTCCCCAATCCCATTTCCATCTCTTTTTTTTCCTCCTCCTGCTAGAAATCTTGTACAGCATTGATTTTTTTTTTTTTTTTTTTTTTTTTTTTTCAAATATTTGTAACTGAAAAAATAATTCGATTTAAAGATCCATTCTCTCCCCTGTTGTCACTTTTATCCTTTTCCAGTTGAATACTTGCTCTGGATCCGATGCCCCAACACCATCCATCGCCGATGGTGCCGATCACCCCTTGCTGTTTGCTGCATAGTGGAAGGGAGAGTGCGTGCTAGTCAAATACACATTACAAACAAGTAGTGGTTACAGCAGAAAGATTCAGGATTACATTCAAGGTAGAGGCAGAACAACAGACTTTGTTTGTTTGTTTTTCCCAACAGGTGCAAAAAATGTACATCCAGGGGGTACCTCTTCTGACAAAGAACTATTGAACTATTATTCAAACAAATAATAGTAAAAAAGCAGAGAACTGGGCTGGCCTGCTCTGGGCACGGCTTGGGGGAAAATACACTATTTTCTGGGATGAGGCACCATCTTCCCCACTGCCCCCAGGCACAGGGTTATCACTTGCTCTCCTGGCAGAAGCCCTTTGTGCACAGGGGCTCTGGCAGGTTTGCTGGGGAGGTGAGGAGCCTCAGGAGGTGAGGCTCATGGTTCTGTATTGTCTGGGCTCCAGGAGTGCCAATTTCAAGTATGCTGAGCAAATGTAATTAAATTTCTTCAGTTTCACAAATTACAGTGGGTGGGTAGAGGTGAAAGGGAGCAGCTGTGAGCTCAGCCTTTCACCATCAACTCCAGAAGGGCTAAATCAGTAACAGGCATTGGCATCTCTCTGCCACCAGAGTGGGGTGCCTGGCCCAGTGCGAGGAACCATGGCTGGGCCAGGCTGGGATTTAAGCAGAGTGCTCCCACCTTCCTCTAGGAGCTCATTGCACTTCAATGATTTCATTCTTTATTTACCGTTTGCAGCCTTGTAATTATTTGTACAAACGACAACACACAGCTGGTTATCTGGGTGGAGGAGAGGGGCGGGGCTGGTGCTCACCGTGGGCTAAAATAAGCTCATTTTGCTTGAGTTTGACAAACAGGCAGCCTCACTTTGTGGGTTGTTTGGTTGGTTTTTTTTCCATAGTATTTGAAAGATCGTCTTCTCCCCTACATACTTTCCTTTTAAGAAACCACTTGCCTCCCTTACCCACCTGGTCCCACGGCTGGGCAGCGGCACTGAGGGGTGGGGAGGTGGGGGGCTGCTGAGGGCTCTGTGAGGTGCTTGCAGATGCCCTCGCTCCTCCCAGTACACTCGGCACAACCCCCAAAAGGGAGCAGGGCTGCACCAGGAGGGAAGTGCAGGAGGGCGTGGGGGGGGG